TTTGGGGTAGTATTCATTTTTGTGTGATTTATTCCTTTAATCCTGAATAAAACCATTCTCAAACATGGCTGGACTAAGAGTATTACGGGACATGTTTCTGTATTCACTGTCATAAGTTTTATGTCTGTAAAAGACATTTGTCCTTTCATGGTTAAAGCACTGAAGACAAAACACTATAAACATATACACCTAGTAGTTAGATAATAGTTTGCTTTTATTTGTATTTTACAATGACAGTAGGCTATACAAAATGTAGGATAATAAATAAATAAATATATCACTTTGATTGACTGACTGAGCCCATACCCTAAAAACTGCCCACCTGGTGTATCTGTTTGCTCTCTCTTCTATAACTGTTGAGAACTGGGCATGTAATATACTATAATTAAATGTTCTTAGAATAAACTGAAATGCAATTGTGAATTTATTATTTAGTGGTGTATTTTACAGCGACGATCACACTAGTTCTTTATTTCAGAGACGAGGCTTCAGCTTAATCCTAGATAAACATTTAAATCTGAGTTATTTCAGCTTAAAGAAACATGCACTGACTGTTTAGTCTCAACGTGGACACCATAAAGCAAAGCATATTTATAAAAAAAATATGTAAATGTTCTAATTGTACAATGACCTAATCCTGGTGTAGTTTAAGCCCATTTCTGTGAAATCAGGCATAGATTTCTTTATACTCTTGATTTAGCCTTGCTTGTAAATTTGATCTGTTTGTGTGAACTTCTCTGTAGAATTTACGATTGATAACAGTATTTGTTTTCTTCAAACACAGTTTTCACAGGATGTTTTGAGTATTTTTATATGAGAGTAAACACAAAGCAATCTTAGCCACAGAACCCCCTTCATCATTCCTAATTCACACAGTTAATAATGGATACTACAGTCACTTATCTTCATTGTGTTGTCACAGCAGTAGGCCTACGTCATAAGTTTACTTGAAGATCAATCTTACAGGTTGTATTAAGCTGTGTGAGATATAACATGAGTAAAGTGAAAATTACAAATAGAAATAAAATTTTATTTCGATATTAGTGACCGCTTTGGAAGTAATTATAATTAATCTTGTATAAAAATGCCATATCCCAGTATATTTTTACTATGCCACATTATATCTTTTATAACCTGGTATTGTCTTGTGTACAATGTTCAGCAAAAATCAAGTCAAAAAAGGTTGGGATAGGATAAAAGACGCAAAAAAATAAAAAATAAAAATTGCGATTTCTAAATTTACTTTTACTTGTATTTCATTGCAGTCAATGCAACAAACATTATTTAAAAAGTTCACACTTAGGTAATGATTGAATATAAAGCATGTTTAGGATGGTGTCCCGGGAGAGAGCCCTGAGCTCATAAGATCCTCCAGCCTAGGGCTACCTCCTGTCTAAAGGATGAGAGGGGAGTTTGAGCTCAGGTAAATTTCAAGAACTCCCCTGCTGTTTATGGCTAAAGACAAATTAGGGATTGGAGAGATGGAATGCTGGCTGAGAGCTCATCTGGGGTGCCAATTTTGGTTCGGCAAGAGTGGCGTTGGAAGCAGATTCCTGTGCGAGTCTTGGCAAGGGGCATGGGAGGGGCTGCGATTGACTCCTGCAAAAGATTAGGCTTGGGATAGCTCCTATGGGAGTCGAAGCCAAGATGGGTGGGCTCCTGTGGGAGTTGGGAGAAGTTTTTGGGTGGTGAAGACTCATGCGGGAGGTAGTGTGAGATGGGCCAGGGGGCAAGAACTCCTGCGGGAGTCAGTGCTTTGGGAAGTTATTGCCTATGCGGAAGGAAGAAGGTGTAGGGGGGACTTGCTAGAAAGAAGAGTAGGGCAGAAAGGTAGCAATGGGGCTTCAATGCTAGGTAATGAGAGGCAATTACAGGGTCGCACTTAAGCCCTTGAACTCCTGTGCGTTGCGAGTCAGCTTGTGAGGATCAGCTGAGATTCCTTCAGGTGGAATTGGCTGAAGCGGATGTAGACTTTAAAAGCTATAGAGGACCACTGTCCGAGGGTCTGGATCTGTTGTTGTGTGAGCCTGTTGTGTGCTGCTATGGTGGCAGCTCCTATCCTGTATGAATGGCTATAGATGGTTCGGGGGAAAGCCTGAAAAGCGGAGGACTTCTTTTATGTGTTTTTGGAACCACAAACATGTTACTGGATGGTTAGCGTCATCAGTAAATGTATCCTTAGGTTTGATAATGCTTGGAAGGTTTACAATATGTGTGTGGGGAAGGGGAGGTTGAAAACGTAAAAAGATGCCTTTTGCGTATTTGATTTGTTTTGCTTTGCTCTTTGCTCTTTGAGATTGAAATTAGATGTTATTATAATTTCAGAGCGCCTAAGTAAACTTAAAAAAACTAGGTGAACTAGGCGTTGAGGCTGCAAACTGTGAGAATTAACTGGTATGCTTTACCTAGGGTGTGTATGCTTTGGGCAGTGATGGCATTGGGCAGAGATCCATGAATTGATTGTGGAAAAAGGATTCCGCTTAACTATTCATAGAACTGGCTTGGACATTGTAGTGTGGAAATGAGAAATGAATGAGGTGGTGGAGAGTAGGGGAAAAACAGGAAAAGGTGCTTTGGAAATGTGTGGAGGTGTTTTAATGTTTTCCAGGCTTTGAAATATGAATCGGAAGGTTTTGGTGTTGATGGACTTGTTAGATGGGGTAGATGGAGGTTTCACATGGTTATACTGGGGGTGGTTCACAGCCATGTCAGTTCTAAATAGAAAGGGTTAGGAGTTGGACAGGGCTCCACTTCTAAGCCGGTTGCCAGAATTTCTGTCTATATCAAGTGCTGGCGAGGTGTCTTTGTGGTTTCAGTCCTTATACTGCTCTCCCTCATTATTGTTACATTACTAAAATGATGTTTAATTATGTGACGGATGCTGAGAATAACTTATTAATAATGTCCTGGTGTTGGTTGGTTGTTGAAGTAGAGAGAGTAGTCAAGGGGTTCTTAGAGGCGGAGTCTGAAGGTAGTGCAGCTGGGGCGTATCTTCTTCAGGTTGTAGTTGTTTTGAAAGGTTCAGGGGGCTGTGGGATAAGATTAGGGGAGAGGATTAGAAGTTAGAAAAATAATAAAAGGGCTGATTGTACATTTCCACTGGTATGTTTAGTTATGAGGAAGACAGCAATTTTGAATAGTCCTGCAGTCCTGACCTGTCTCCATCCCATAGAGAATGTGTGGTGCATTTTGAATCACAAAATGTGACAAAAAAGACCCTGTAACACTGCCCGTCTTAAGACTTGTTTGGAGGAAGAATGAAAATAAATGACACCTGAAACACTTCATTACTTGATGTTTTCAGTCCCTAAACATATTTTAAGTGTTGTTAAAAGGAATAGCAACATTACAAAGTGGTAAATGCTTTACTGTCTAAACTTTTTTTAAAAATGTGTTGCAAGAACCAAAAAAAAAAAAACACACAAGAAACAAGTTAAATTATGTTTGTTGTATTGTCTGCAATGCAATACAAGTCAAAGTAAATTTAGAAATTACTACTTTCAATGTTTATTTGTGTTTTCCATACTGTGCCAAGTTTTTCTGATTTGAGGTTGTAAATACATTCTTTAATACTGCTAAACAGCTTGTTAATCATAAGTACACCTTCCCTGCCACTGACTACTTGCTCACTGAAAGACTCTGAGTGATGTGCAGGTGTGTGAGTTAGATAGAAACACCACAGGCTTAAGATGATGATATAGCCTCTACTTAAACTGTAAATGTGAACAGTAATAATAGATTTTTTAAATCCTGCATTGTGTTTAAAAATATATTGATTTACTGTATTTTCCGCACTATAAGGCGCACCTGAAAGCCTTCAATTTTGTCAAAAAAACAAAAAAAAAAACCCGCCGTGTGCCTAATAATCCGGTGGGCTTTAAGTGTGCACTGAGTTCCAAAATCTGTAAAAATGTTGTGTGATTTTGGAAAGCCCTCAGCTTGATATTTTGAGATATTCTTCAAGACACTTCTATAAAGCTAAAGTGCCATTTAAAGGCTTAACTAGGTTAATTTGTTCTGTAGACTATCGGGAAAAAAAGAGCTTAAAGGGGCTAATAATTTTGACCTTAAAATGTTTTTTTTTTTTTTTTAACTAAAAACTGCTTTTAATCTATCTGAAATAAAACAAATAAGACTTTCCCCAGAAGAAAAAATATTATCAGACATACTGGGAAAATTTCCATGCTCTGTTAAACATAATTTGGGAAATATTTAAAAAAGAAAAATTCAAAGGGGAGCTAACAATTTTGACCACAACTCTATATTTTCAATCGCAAAATTGTCCACAAATTTCTGGGAATTATCACCACAAAATAATTTTTATTATGAAAAATCACAAACAAAAATAATCGTGAAAAACTAGGAGGTCTGATTATATATAATTTCTATGAGGATATTTTTTGTTTCAAGTTTAATATACAGATTAGAAAATGTCACCTTTGAGTTCTACCAATTTCAGAAATAAACTATTTTGGCTGATTGAAGAGCAGACAGGTATAAGTGTTCTAAATCTTGCGGATAGAGGTGGGATAAAACAAGATGATTGTACATCAGCTGCTGCATATTTTACATTAAAAATGTGTACATATTTCTGTACAGAGAGGTCATGTTTAGATCTTTTATTGGTTTCTCTTATCTATGTGATGTGATTTTGCAGATCATAATTCATAAAGCTTGAACTTTGGAATGCAACGCCACGGAAAACCTGTCACACAAGCTTGTGTTTCCAGTCTGCTGCATTTGCATACATATGAATGGAGGTCTTTAGGGCAAAAAGTGCACTGTGACCGTGGTTTCAGACCACAACAATTAACATTCATTTTTCAGATGTGGAGAATGCAAGTGTGAAATTCATTATCAATAAAAATGTGAATTTTGTAAAAAAAAAAAAAAAAAAAAAAAGGTTTCTTGCTTGCAAACACTTTTTTTATGGCAGTTATGAATATTGTTAAATGAGATTAAGCACTGAGCAAGGTAAACCACACAACCCTCACAACATGTCAAATTCACATAGTTATTATTAGATATTTATGTCACATGTTTATCTTGTTTTCACCGCAGTACAACAGAAGTTACTTAAACATCAAACTTACAGGTTGAAATAAGCTCTGTGTGAAATGACACGAGTAGTGAAAATTACAAAGATAAATCAAATATTATTACATCTATATTAGAAACAGCTTGGCAAGTAATTACAATTAATATTGTGTAAAAATATTGATCAGAGAGGATGCTGTCTGAAATATTTTCAAAGTTAAAGTGAGTTGAGCTGTCTTTTTAAACCAGGGGTAAAATAAAGCATAAACCAAAGGATTCAGACCTGAGTTAGCATAAACAACCCATAATAAAGCATTTAGGGCTGTGGAAGTCATTACAGTAAGAGAGCAGATATAGTACGGAATCCAGCAAAGCAGATAAACAGTCACAATGATTCCTAAAGTCAGAGCAGCTTTACTCTCAGATTTCCTCTTCACTGAACCCTCCGTTACACATTTACCACCCTTTATCAGAGAGTTTATAACCTTCACTTGCTGATGAACGACATAGAAAATCCTCAAATATAACATTATAATTACAAAACAAGGAAAAATAAAAGACATGAACAGATCAGTGACTGTCCAATTAAAACTTATAATGGCTAAACACTCTCCGTAACACACATCTGTTCTGTGTGAAGTGTCAAAATATCTATTATTTATCGCAATGGCAATAATATAAGCTGATGAACAAGCCCAGCCCAGACAGATACTCATAAGTGTTTTAGTGATGGTTATTTTCTGTGGGTACAGTAAAGGGTGACACACAGCCACATAACGATCAACAGCGATTAAAACTAAATTACTAAGAGATGTTGAGATAAGTAAATCAACAAATAATAAATAAAGTTCACAGAAAGTGTCTCCAAAGTACCAACATGTCTCAATCAGTCTGATGGCCTCTACAGGCATGATGAGTCCAATAAGCAGATCAGTTACAGCCAGAGAGAGAATAATCATGTTGGTTGGAGTGTGAAGCTTCTTGAAGTGAGAGATGGAGATGATCACCAGCAGGTTCAGAAACACAGTCCATGCTGACAGCAATGACACAAACACATATATGATGATATATCCATGACTGGAGCGTCTCTCCTTGACACATGATGAGTTGATGTCAGGAAAGCAGTATTGAGTCTCCTGTTCCTCTGTCTCATAGGCCATGAGTGAGTCTCCTCCTGTTTGTTCTGTTCTCCTTTCTGTCCTTTCATTTATACAGCGTCTGGATCAGGCTGACCAACCCATTTACCGCCCACTATGATGCAATTTATCAAAAAAACAAAAAACAAAAAAAAAAACATTCCTTCTCTTTGTTGAACATTGGATTTTAAATACATTACTAATTAAGGTTTTCTGCTGCTGTTTGAATGTAAAGTTTGCTTTAATCAGCTGCCGTAAATCTTTATTACAAAATCCAGGGTGGCTCCTTTAGTCTGGATTGAATTAATGTTCAATCAATTGTTGTTGGTCTGTCAGGGGGCATTTGTGGCTTAATAGTCAGGGAGGTAGATTTGTAAAGGTCAGAGGTTCAATCCTTGATACCAGCAGGGATTGAAGGTGAGGTGCAAGTGAAAGTATGGTCCTTTTCCTTTTTGTAATATCTACTGGGCATATTGATATATAATAAAAAAAATATTTATTAGTTATTAATTATAAATAAAAGTGGAGAAAGCCAACAGGGTCACAGTCAGACCAGGGTCTCCCCTATCTCAATCACCCTGACCTGAAGCCTATAAGCCTCGCACCTACACATCTTCACTTCTCTTCACCCCAGCACCAGTCTGTGTCCACATTGTCTGTGTGTCCTTCCTTGTGTAGATTCCCTTTAATTCACTGTCTGGTCATCTTCTGGTTCCTGTATCATTCTTGCTAGTAGTTGCTCCATCTCTGTGTCTGATAAATCTGAGTTCCTGGTTTCCAGGTCTTCTTCCAGTCCGATTATGCCGTCTCTATTCTTGCAACAGGAATTTTCAACTGCCATCCTTTACCTAATAAACGGTCTGTATACTCACCAGCCTGATATCCACAGCCCCTCCGTGACACAAGGCACATTGCTGCAGTAATTCTGGCAAAAGACTCCCAACTAAGTCCTGAGAGCTGTGCATGCTTGCACTTTTAATGTTCATACTTTTCATTTGGCCAAAATATACATTTGTTTTCATATTCGTCTTAAATACTATTCAAATTTTTAGAGATACTGAATTTGGGGTTTTCAGTAGTTCCTCAAAATCATCAAAATTTAATAGAAACAACATGGTTTCTGCGGGTTTTAAAAAGTCTAAAATTCAAAAGTCACAATTTTAGGCCTTAAAGTCTTAAATTCGCTGTTCTAGATCTTAAATATTTTTGCACAGGTCCTATTTTTTCGATGTCCATGTAACGCTACATCTTTTGCTTATTTTTTGTTGTTGCTTGGTTTTTGTGGTGTTGTAGTTCTTTATTTCACTAGTCAAACTGTAACTTGCAGTATTACAACTACAAATGAAACCAACATGCAATAGCCAATCAGATTTCTGTTATTGAACACAGAGCAAGCAGCGAATGTGACAACATTGCTGTATTTGCGGAGGTTCGTTTTAGGTGAGTGCAGCATAATTTCGGGTGGCGGAGCTCACAAAATGTTTTGGGACTTAGATGAACAGTTCGTGCGGCGCCGCATTTGATTTGAAAAGGAAACACTTTCAAGAGATTTCGTCTGAAACAGCCTTCAGATTTCATCAATCTGAAACAGATTTTGTCTTTCGACTATACAGACATCTTTATGATCCGAACTTACGTGATCATAGGGAGAACCAGATGACCAACAATTCTTGGCTAGAAATTGCAACAGCAGTTGGAAAGGAGGAAAGATTTTGTAAAGGTCTGGAAAGTCTGAGGGATAAGTTTGTTGAAACAAAAAAGAGGCCATGCAACAGTGGAGACACTAGAGGTTTTACTATTACAGAATCTGTTTTTCCATCATTTATAGGTTTACACTGATGTATATATTACCATATTGAAAAAACTTAAGTTGCAAATTATGTCTTTGATAACTGGAAAAGAATATTTAAACCTATCAGTTTACAAAATACAGATGCTCAGTTCCTAGGCTTTACAGGTGTTAATGGTCAGGAGTGTTGGACCATTATTGCGTTTTCAGCTTGTAAGTGGAGGACAGAAATTAGACAGACAGTAATGTGTGAATTGTTGAGTTGGCAAAAAAAAATCAGTATTTTTAGTAAGTGTACTTTATTTTTGCTTTTATTTTTGCCTTAATAAAAAATAAAATTGTAGAGCAACACATGGGGCCTGTTTCAGAAAGGAGGTTAAGTGAAAACTTTTAACCCTGAAATGAGAGAAACTCTGGATTTTCGGTTTCAGAATGGCAGGTTTGTTAAACTCAAGAAAGCAGTTAGAAGAAAAGTGCATGGGTGTTTCCCAGCTCGGTGCTGGGTTGTGGCTAGAAGTCCATCTACTGTATAAAACATATGCTAGACTATAGTTGGTGGTTCATTCTGCTGTGGTGACCCCTAATAAATCAGGGACTAAGTCGAAGTAAAAATGAATGAGGTAATAACATTAAAACCTTAATATGAACAGAAATGACCAATTTTGTCAGTTTTATGAGTACAACTTTGTTGCTCTTTTTTTTTTTTTTTGTCGGAATTAGATTATGCAAGGTATTCATAGAGAGGGTCGCAAATTGTGCTTCAAAATCTCTATATGATTTTCAGCATTTATGGGTGCCATCACAGATGTGCAAGTTACTTTTGTCTGGGATACTGACAACCTCATACCAGGCCCTGGCTTTTGGACTTGTTGCTGCTTACAGTCTGGATGATCCTTTTCTCCTTTGGTCCGGAGCACATGGCGTCCATTTCTTCCAAAACATACCTGAAATACTGATCCATCTAGTATAGTACACGTTTCTACTGTGTGATGGTCCATCCCAGATGCCTCTGAACCCATTCAAATTGACAATGCTTCTGTACACCATTAACATAGGGCTTCCTTTTGGCAAGGTAGAGTTTTAACTGGCATTCAATTTAATTCATCTTTATTTCTATAGCACTTTTACAATGTAGACTGTGTCAAAGCAGCTTAACACAGAAGCTCTGGTAAATTGAAACAGTGTCAGTCCAGATTTCAGAGTTGAAGTTCAGTTTAGTTCAATTCAGTGTGGTTTAATTTTTACTGCTGAAAGTCCAAACACTGAAGAGCAAATCCATTCATGTGCAGCTCCACAAGTCCCAAATCGTGCAAGCCAGTGGCGACAATGGTGAGGAAAAAAACTTTACCAATTGACGAAAATGAAGGAGTAAAAACCTAAAGAGAAACCAGGCTCAGTTTGATACGGCCATTTCTCCTCTGGACAAAATTGTGCAGAGCTGCAGTCTAGATGCTGGAGGCTGAAGAACCCTGGATGTCCATCTTGGAGAAGCTGCAGGCATTTGTGGATGTAACATTGTTTAATGTAGTAGTACTTGACAAAGGTTTCCCAAAGTAGTCCAAGTCCAGGTGGTGATATCACATACAGATGAATGACTATTGTAGTGTCGGAATCGGAGATCATGGTTGTTCAGCTTATGCTTGTGCCCTTGTTGAAGGTGAAATATCTAAATATCTTCCTCTATTTCTTTTGAGGAACATTGTTTTTAATGTTTCAATAATTTTGTCATGTATTTGTTGGCAAGTTGGCAATTCTCAGCCTATTTTTGCTCCTAAAAAACAAGACCATTCGTGGATGCTGCTTTTGTACCAAATTAAATAACACTATAATAACTAAACTATAAATCATTTATTAAGCGCTAGCATCTAGTGAGTTTATTATTTGTTAAGCATTAACTCTACATTAATAAACGTTAGTAAGCAGTTTATAACTGCAGCTACAAATGCTGTATTCTCGACTTATAACCACATTTATAATGTGTACTTGCATAATTGGTGACTGGTTGATTTTTCATTACTAAATTAAGTATCGCATTATTTACAAACCATTTGTATTTAAGAGTAGTTGGAAGATTTTAAAATCATTCTGAATAAGTTAGTAAATGATTAATAAACTATTGAAATAAACGTTAATATATCAAATTATTCAGTTGTATAGTATTGGTTAATTTTCATATTAATAAATACTTTATTTACTCAACTTCACGCATCAACTTCAATTTTGTGACCTAATTTAAAGTGAGAACTATTTATGCTTTATAAATCCCTTTTAAATGACAATTAAAGGCTCGGTATCAAATGAACAATAATATTTGCAATCTTAGATAAAAAGTAAAATTACTGTAAAGTTTAAACATTGCTGAATAACCGCAGTGTCAAAATACGACATAAAATTGGATAAAATAACAACATAATAATTCAACAATATAATAGAATGCAACGTTTAAACTGCACAGTAATTTTATTTTAGATAAATAAATTAATTAAAGATTTTTTTATTTGATACAGTTTCATTTGTGTATCTTCAAAGGAATATAAAATAATAAAGTCGTTTATTTTCTTTTTTCCTGTATATATAATTAAGCTTTTAATTGTCATTTATAAGGGATTTATAACGCATAAATAGTCCTCACTTTAGGTCACAAAACTGGATGAAGATGAGTTAATAAAGCATTTATTAACATACAAATTGACTATTAGTATATGCCTGAATAATAGGAATTATAAATGTGAATCAATCAATGTATATCAATCATTTACTAACTCATTCCGAATGATCTTAAAAAACAACCAACTATGCTTAAATAACGGGTTTGTAAATAATGCAATACTTAATTTAGTAATGAAAAATAAATCATTAACAAAGTATGAAAGTACAGTTATTATGCACATTATAAATGAGGTTTTAAATCAAGAATACAGCATTTGTAGCTTCAGTTATGAATGAACTGCTTACTAACGTTTATTAATGTAGAGATAATGCTTAACAGATAATTATTTCACTATTTGCAAATGCTTAATACATGGTTCATAGTGTGGAGTTATTATAAAATGTTACCCCAAATCCTAATTAAAATCCCCTGTTGACAACACCGATTTCAAATCACATCATTATTAAACCAATTTACCTTATTGCTAGCCTTAAATTGCTCCTGTCCATGTTTTTGCCCTTCTTTGTAATGGATTTCAGGTCTGAATGGCAGGAAAGAATGTATATTTACAAGTGAAATAAAGTTGCATGAAGGCAAAGCATGAAATATGTTCATATTGTCTGCAATAAAACACAAGTCAAAGTAAATTTGGAAATCACTTCTTTTTCTTTTTTTGTATATGTATTTGTGTATGTGTATTACATACCTCATATCAACTCATAGCAACTATTTAGATTAAGGTAAATCATCTGATTACTGATGTTCTTGTAAATGTAGTAATCATAACATAATCACACTATAGTTCCTGAATTCACAGACAAGGCTTTATCCTAATCCCAGACAAAGATATAAATCTGTTAAAACTGAAAAAAATGTCCATTGACGGTTGTTTTGTCTCCACATGGACACCAGTAATTTTTTTCTAGGGCATAATTGTTAAAGTAACACACTTAAATGTTCTAATTGAACAATGGCCTAATCCTGGTTTAATCAAAGCCCATGTCTATGAAAGCAGGCATGGATTGCTTTTGACTCTTCATTTAGTTTGCCTGTAATATTTCATCTGTTGGATTGGAGACAGCTGAGCTGCACAGGTGATTCTCATTATCACTCACTCCACTGACCTCATCCAGCTCAACCACTCTATAACACAACACTCAACATCTGTACTTCAGTTTCAGAAAAAGCCAGTGATAAAGTTCATTCTCAATAAACAGCTAATTTTGGTAACAATGTTTGTTGCTTGCAAACACGGTCTTCATGGCAGTTATAAATATTATTAATTTATTATATAGTATTAAGCTTAAAGCAAGAGGAGTCACAATCAGCCTCACCCAAACCTAAATTACACAGGTAATAAAGGATACCATTGTCACAGATCTTTATTGAGTTTTCACAGCAGGACATCAGTTACTAAAACTTCAAAGGTTGAAGTAAGCTATGTGTTATAATGTATATGAAAAGTGAAAATTA